ATCATCAAGGTGATGCGTCATGATGATTATCCTTGAGATAGACATGAGTATCATGATGACTGCTGGTGATGCTGAGGAAGCGTCAGGGGCATAGTGTGCTCCGTGTGACGATACGCAGGATCGGTGGCGACACGCGCAGTTGGTGTCCTCTGCAATCGTGACCCTCATCAGCATTGTCATCATCACGGTGCTCATCATCACCATCTTCTTCGTCATCGTCCTTTTCTTAAATACGCTTCAAGTGTCCCGTTAGAGCCGATTTGGGATGCAGAAGATGCGTGGACATGATTATCAGGACGACTGCTGGTGATGCTGAGGATGCGTCATGATGATTATCATTGAGATGGACATGATCATCATGATGACTGCTGGTGATGCTGAGGATGCGTGATGATGATTATCATGTCAGTTCATCATCATCAGTATCAGCATCATGACCGTGCTCATCATCATCCTCTTCTTCGTCATCGTCCTTATCTTTTTTATGCGTTTCAAGCGTCGATTATCATGTGACTTGCGATGCAAAACCAGGAGGCTCCAAGTCCCAAGTTACCTTGGCTTTTTGAGCTAAGATGTCTTCGGCCACTTGCGCTTGTTGGCCCCCGTAAAGCCATGAAAACTCGGCCGAACGGCCGTGATAACTCGCGCGGGAAACTGGAAGGCCGTTACTACTCCGTGAAAAATCCGTGAAAACTCGTGAAATTTCACTCTCTGGGTTATCATGTCCTCACAACACCAAAAACCTCCTCAGCTCATATGGCCTAAGCAACTCGCAAATCGGAGCCTCCTGGAAGATGCGTGGACATGATTATCATGCTGACTGCTTGTGACGCTGAAATTGGTTCATCCTAAGTCTATCGAATGAACGCTTGCATCCGGGACCTTCCCCAAGGGCCCGGATTTTTCCCCGCGCAGGCGCCAAACTGCTTCATCCTAGGTCTATCGAAAGAACGCTTGCATCCGGGCCCTTCCCCAAGGGCTCGGAATTTTCCCCACGTCGCCGCCAAACAGATTCACCCAACGTCAATCGAAAGAGCGCTTGCATCCGGGCCCGGATTTTTCCTCATGTTGGCGCCAAATTGATTCATCCAAAGGCAACCGAAAGAACGCTACAACATATTTTTTCATGTCCTCTTGGGGGACATAGTGTGCTCCGTGCGGCGATACGCAGGATCGGTGACGACACGCCTTGACCCAGAAAACCACATTCAGCATGCAACCTAGCAGGAAAAACATACCCAGCAAGCAAAGAATTGAGTGTTGGATCCGGAAAAAGTCCACGGGGGTCGGCGGCACAGGGCGGCAGCCCTTAAATCCGGCTACGCATCCTGGGGTAGCACGTCGCCGCTAGGCAATTAGCCTGCTAGCTTTAGCTATTTTCTGGGCGGCCTCTAGCCGGCGCCTCTTTGAAGTTGTACCATGTCATGTCATGTTTTTGTATGAGAAACGTATCCTGTGATGCCAGCCTTCTGGGCCCCAGCCGGCGCGCGCCAGAGACCCCAGAAAGAGCAGCAGCCCGCAAGCCAGCCCAAAAACGCAAATGCAACAAAAAACCGTAAATAGCAGCGTTTGCTCGGCAATTAGCCTGCTAGCTTTAGCTATAGGGGCTGCACCCTGGCGCCGCCGACCCTCGCCACTTGGTCGTGATGCGCTGCCTAAATCCGGCACCTCTGCATCACCAGCTCGGGCTTGCGGTTTTGCTTGCCTGTGGGAAACCCTTGCAAAACATCGCGTGTGTGCAGGGTTTAAGTCATGTGGCTGACATCGTCAGGGTCTGGGGTTGGGCCTGGGTCATGCTTCAGCGGGGCTTGGTCTGCATCATCAAGACTTCCTTCCAAAAAGCCTCTCAACCCATGAACACTGTTTTTTAGAAGGTATTGGAGGGATATAATCGAGGCTCATTTTTGCGTGAAGCGCTGCCGCGCAAGCTGGGTCCTCGCTCTACAAAACGCTATAAATACCGCCAAAAACTGCTCTGCTGAGCGTTGGGCTGTTGTTCTGTCCGTTTTGCTTTTGCTGCGGCTGGCTCGCGTGCTGCGCGGCCCTTGCCTTTTTTCCCGTTGGTTTTCGGGCCTTCTGGCGCGCGTTCCGCAGCCACAAAACGCTGCTATTTGCGGTGCTTTGTTGCGTTTGCGTTTCCGGGCTGGCTTGCGCGCTGTTCTTTTTGGGCTGCTGTTTCTGAGGCCTCTGGCGCGCGCGCGCGCGACCCCATGTCAGCCTTCTGGGTTGGGGCCCGGCTGGGGCCCAGAAAGCTGATATCCCCGGCATCATCTGGGCAAAACCTAACCAGCCATAACATAGCACAGGATACGTTCTCATACAAAACATGACATGACATGGTGTAACTTCAAAGAGGCGTAGCCGGCCTGAGGCCGCAGGCAGAAAATAACCTTGCAGACATCGTGCGCCAGCTCATGCAGATGCGATCTACTGGCCAAAGACTGTGGAGCCTCAGGATGCAGGCCGACTGTTAATAGAAGTGCTGATGCAACTTTGAGGAGGGGGTTGTCGACGCCACAAAGTGGCCCTGTTCAACGCAGCAGAGCCAACAATAGAGGTACCCACGAGGATCAGCAGCTGTAAGGCACTGCAGACACCTAGGCTGCTCAGTAACGTATAGTGGTGCGGTTGAGCAAAGACAGGGGGAGATAGATATATCCACTGCGACACGCGTAGACCTGCTTAATGTCCACCCATATGCGAAGTCTCACAAGGGAGGATTGTGGAACGAGTTGACCTACACTTGCTGGAAGCTCTTTGTCTCGAAAATTGCCACGTACATGGAGATCAAACAGCTTGAAGCTACAATTGGTGAATTTCGGGAGTGAACCAGACGTTCAGAAAGCAGGCCCAGCGTTGGCGGTCGTGGCATTTCAGGGCCAATTGGTTGGTGCCGGGGCAAGCAATCAACCGAAGATCAAGTGGAACGCATATGAGGCGGTTGAGTGAAGACGGCTTACAGCCCCGGTGAGACTTCGGGCCTTGGCAAGCTTACCGGGCGACATGCTCAGGAAGGAGGCGAGATGGAGACGCATTTGGAAGGAGGCGAGATGGAGACGCATTTGGAGGTTGATGGACACGAAGATCCAGCGTGAGTGGCTGAATTTTGCGAGAAAGGGAGCATGGAATACTGCCCAGAACCGCCATGCGAAACGTGGAGTGTGTCTCGCTTCAGGGGCAACAAAGGTGATGGAGGACCATGCACGGTACGATCACTCGGAGAGCCATTTGGTCATAGAAGCTTGCCAATTTCAGGGGTGCTAAGTCATTTTTTACTGGCAATACGATTCTGTAATTTGTGCTGACTATGTTTGCCTTGCTGGCCTACGGTTGAACATCCGGATGAACCACGCAGAGGCGACGCACCCATCATTTGGAAGCGACAGCATGGGACGCGACGAGCATAACGGCTACAACACGGCGAAGCTCAAAGAGTACCAGCCCGACTTCAACAAAGCCATTGCAGGAACATTTGGGGCTTGGATGCGGGGGCGCCGCCAGAATTGTGGAAAGCCAATCAACATGATTTCATGCGTTTCACATTGTCAACATTGGCCTCGCCGGTGACGATGGTGGAGAAGTTCGGGCAGAAGGTCATCGCTGACACCATGGACCTGGGGTTGCCCTCTGAGGCTGGAGCTTGGGGCTGGAGGTTTGGCCCTCTCGCAAACCGCAAGTCGCTGATTTCCCCGTAGGAAACCAATTATCCATGGTGGATTTTTACCCGCTCGATTTTTTGTCTGCTCCTCCGCTCCTTGGTCCCTTGGTTGGTCGGAGCTGACCTGGCGATGGCGAGAGGGTCCCCAAAACCCTGGTTGCTGCCCCAAAGCAAGCGGGTTGTAACTAGCCTTGCCGAAAGATGTTCTATCCCATTTGGAAACATCACACACGTCACTATCCACCCATAGGAGTTTAATGCAAATTGGCCCTCGTTTTTTCTGAGATCACCCTGAAGCAAATCAAGGAGCCCGCCAGTGTTTTGAATGCAATAGCAAGATTACCACACGATCACCTGGCGGAATCGACCCTGTGTTGCTGGGCGAACGCTTGCGCACGCGCGGAAGACTTGCCTCAGAAGAGCGGCTTGATCTCCGTGTTGAACTTGCCTTGTAAAGATTGAAGCCAAAGCAGCTCAGAGTTGATGAGGGGCTTACTACCTCTGAGTGTCTAGGCCAAGGTTGCTTCTCCGATTTAAACATCGCCTCACACAAGAGGAACTCTATTGCCAACCAAGGGGTCTTTTAAAGTCGCTATGTTTAAACCGCAAAGGACAATATGGCCCGACACACAAAAAGGATAAGGACCCTTTTCGCAGACCATGTAGATTTTGCTCATCTTCACACAGGGGATGCCCCAACTCCGCGTGGCCAAGTCTGGGCCAAGTCCCGAGAGCTTCGGGCGGTTTCCACTTGTTCAAGCCCCATTTGGCATGTGTCTCAATACCAGGCGGCCCATACAAATTGCGCGGTTCCCCTTCGGATTTCCCTTCTATAATACCCACACATTTTCGGGCGCTCCCAAAAAAGGTGCTTGGCCTGATTAGTTTTTTCTGCACGCTGGCCCTAACTCTTCTCACTTTGGCTAGATCAGGGCTTGAAGACACACAAACTCCACACCAGCTGTTTTCCATCAAGCCACCGCGCAAATGAGTAGCATGCCCAGCAAATAGCAGGGTCTTGGCTAACGTCCTGTGTTCTCCTGTCGCCTGGAGCCAAGTTGCTCTCTTCATAAGATGTCATTGAGATTTGCCTGGCGCGCGCCACTGACTTTGCTCGAGCCTCCTGGGGCGTTTCCTGAAAATGGGTAGCTGCGCTAGCAAAGCAGGATTCTGCAGATTCGCTTCGCGTCGCAGAAGTGGCTGTCGCGGAACGTGTTTGGAGAGTGGAAACTGACCATTGCAGGAGCACACCCGATTGAAGTGAATTCCCAAGACATGCGAAAGTCATCGAAAGTCACACGTTGACGTCCAGGGCAAAAAGTTGCCGCGCAGCAGGTTTGTGGGAGATGAAACCGTCCTTTTCAGCGATACCAACTTGTGTGCATTACTCAGCTGCTTCAAAAAAAATCCTGTGACGGAAAATCGGGCTCCATTGAGGATATGCCCTCTATCTTGCGCCGTTGGCCATACCCATTCGCTCCCAGCGGCCTACCGTCGTATTTGCGGTGGCCCATGGCTCTCATAATCTTCGTGGCATCATCCGTGGTTGCGCACTGCAGGTAGACATCGCCTGGCAAGTTCCACCAAATTGTCACGTTGATTTTGGGACCCCTGCAAATGCTGAGCCGACAGGTGCTTGCCCGTAGGAAAGAGGATCAAAAAGGTTCTATTTCGAGACTTCTGAACTGCGAAGCACCCTGCAAGAACAAGGCCATCAGGGCCATCGGGGACGTCCATTTGGATCTCCGGATCGGTCTTTGAACCGCAAAGGATCTTCTTGCGCCCCCAAGCATTGGGCCCCTGGGTATTTTTTGGTTAGCCCGCATTCATCTTGCATCACATTCTGGCGTCTCCCTTCTGGATGCCTGGTTTGACCGTGGCATTGCCCTTGGCGTGCTCAGGCCTCACGATGGCGACCTGAAAGGTGCGGACGATTCTGAGATTCTCCGGACGGCTATTGCTCCCTCCGTCCCTTCCTTTCCTTCCTTTCCTTTGCGTCTTTTCGCCCCTCCCTCCCTCCCTCCTCCCTTTCCCTCGCCGACATGCCGAAACACGGCCGCGAAGTGAGGTCACGCGTGGACGTCAACCGCGGCGGCGGCTGGGTGTCAGGATGCCGCACCAGTGGGGGGGGATTCTCCGGCGGCACCAATTAAGCACTATCGCTGCATTTGCCGCCTGCTGGCAAGAGCGGCGCTGTGCGAAACGAAGCACTGTAGCCACGAAACGGCTACAGGCGCTCTGCGAATCCGCGCACCGCGACTTCTCTGAGGCAAGTTCTCCTAACACTGCGCCAAGAGAACTTCTTTGCGGAACTGAAAAAGTTTCACTGCGCAAACGCACAAACTCTCCACGCACGTCCACCGTGCAAATTGTCCAGCTTCTCTACGCAAGTTCTTTGCGCAAGCTCTCTGTGCAAGATTTTGGGCTAATGCTGCCTACTATGAAAGCACTGCAAGCTTACGAGCTTCAAGCCGGAGCTGCCGGATTGTGCTTCGCACGGTGCGTGTTGTACTAAGAACTTGCGCTTTTCTGGGCGGAACTGCGGGAATTGACAACTTCAACGCCGCACGAACCGCAAACAGTTGGAATTCCCCTGGCTTTCGCGCATCGGAGCGCGCATCCTGAGAGAGACCGCCATTTTTTGCAGAGTGGCCCCTCCTGCGCCCCCCCCGCCCCACAACATTTTCCGACGCCTGACGCCACATCCCGGCTGACGTTCCCATGTCATCAAAAGCAATTTGGGTCATAGATCCGGTAGGTTTAGATCTGTAGGTTTCATTAAACTCAAGTAGTGTTAAAAAGTGGATAGAGGAGGCTTCTGTAAATTCATGAGGGGAAAAAAGAACCAGACCCCAAATCAAAACGTGATTCAAAAAGAAAAATCTAGGCCAAGCATGTGCGTGAGCTCTCCCACCCTGGGTTTACAGTTGGCATCTTAACAATTGTCGATTGCCCAGCAGGCATTGCCACTTCAAATGGCGCACTGTCATCCAGCGACCTTCACGCCTGCCCTTTTTTCCTAGAGCAAATGTCTCTCAGACTCAGCCTCTCAGGAGTCTCACCTCAGGCAAATGACACATGTGAGTCATGTGAATCACACACACCAACCAAATGCGAATGCCACTGGAAGCAAGGACTTGCATCAAATCTCTTCTCTTATTTTTGCCAGCCCGGCAGCAAAGGATCTTCCTATCAAGGACCCGCGCTAGCACGAATTACAAATTCCATTGGCAATGTGTCAAGTGACAATTGAAAGGTCAACTACCACGTGTGGTCAACTGCCAAATTTCATGGGTCAGGTCAGTTCGTTCGGGATTTATGTGTTTTAAGGTCCTAAAAACGAATAATGGTTTTTTACTCAAACTTAAGGGTTTGACAAAACCAAAAAAACAAAAACAGGGATTTTGCAGCAAACCTCAAAGTGTACTATTGATGCCAGTTTCCTCGAAACAAGAATCAATTTGCTTGTTTCCCAGCGGACCCCGCCGTTTCTGCGCGCTAAGCCTTAGGGGTAAGACAGCTTGACGCGCCTGCTGAAAGGGGTTTGGGGTCATCTAAACAGAAATGAGTCTTGGCCGCCAAGAGGAAAGGGCTTGAACTGCTTTTGGGGAATAACTTAACTATGAAACCGCCTCTTCTGTGCGAGCAAAATGCGTTGTTCTTGAGCCCAAATTCTGCTCGCATTTTGGCTAGATTGGGCTTGCAATTGCAAGTGTTCACAAAGAAAGCAGTGACCTGCAACAAATCCTGCATGGACACATTGTTTGGGTTTTGGCCACACACTACATAAAACGGAGCAGAACTGTTTTTCTTGGTAGGCGTTTCTCAGAGGCCCCAGGTTCCCCGCGAACCAACTCCGAACAAACTCCGAACGAACTCCGAACTCCGAACGAACTCCGAACGAACTCCGAACAAACTCCGAGCAAACTCCGGACAAACTCCGAACGAACTCCGAACGAACTCCGGGCGAGCTCGGAACAAACTCCGAACAAGCGAACAAGCTCCGAGCGAACTTTGTCATTGGTTGATTTCCGAACAAACCCCCGAGCCAACTCCGAACACACTTTGGCCATAAGTACGTGTTTGAGCAAAAGTATTTTGGTGGTTTAAACTGTTTTTTGGCTTTTTTCGGGATTACCAAAAGTTGCCAAGTGATTACAGGGGCCAGTTTCAACAAGTGGCCTGGGAAGGCGTTCAGGGCTGGATTTGTAGGACTTGAGAGCTGCGGAGGGCTAAAATCGCTACCGGGGTGATCTCGCAGCTTGGTTGGCGCTGAGGCTCGCTGTTGAAGCTGAAACAAAGTTTAATCTGCTTGACCAAGGCTTAATCCGAAAAAAAAACCTTATTCCAAAAAAAAAGCTTGTTGGCGCTGAGGCTCGCTGTTGAAGCTGAAACAAAGTTTAATCTGCTTGACCAAGGCTTAATCCGGAAAAAAAACCTTATTCCAAAAACAAAAAGCTTAAGTTCAACACCGGTGTTGAACTTAAGGTTTTGCCCGATTTTGGTCGTATGAAATAGCTGTTTTTTTGCCTGAACAACCTGGATTAAGCATTTTTCAAGGTTTTTTTTACCTTGGTAACACTGAATTTGTAGACAAAACGCGTGAACAAGCTGTAATTCCAGTGTTTTTGTACGACCAAAACCCGAAAAGTTCAACACCAAAAAAAAACTTAAGGCCAAAGTTCGTTCGGAGTTCGTTCGGAGTTCGTTCGGGGCAAGAATTATGCCCCCCGCCCCCCCCCAAAAAAAACTAAGCACAAATCATAGCCTGAAAGCAAAAACAAGCAAACAAAAACAAAACAAAGCTGAAAAACAAAAACTTAAGGCAAAAACAAAATAAAACAGCTCCCCAGACCAAATCCCGAAAAGTTCAACACCAAAAAACAAATAAGCTCCAAAAACAAACTTAAGGCCAAAGTTCGTTCGGAGTTCGTTCGGAGTTCGTTCGGGGCAAGAATTAAGCCCCGAAAAAAATATCAAGCACAAATCACAGCCTGGAAAAAAACACGAGCAAAAAGACAAAACAAAGCCGAAAAACTAAAACTTAAGGCCAAAACACAAAAATCAGCCCCCCAAAGAAAAATATGGCCAAAAATTGTTTGGCGCTTGTCCGGGAAGTAAATCCAGCCCGGAAAATGCATAACAGGAAAATCAAGTGACCAAAAGAACTAATTTCAACACGTGGCCTGAGAACATGTTTGTTTGCCTCCAAAAACGCCTTCCCAGGCCACTTGTTGAAACTGGCCCCTGTAATCACTTTACCTCTTTTGGTAAGCTCGAAAAAAAGCAGTTTGACCAAAGTGTGTTCGGAGTTGGCTCGGGGGTTTGTTCGGAAATCAACAAATGCCAAAGTTCGCTCGGAGCTTGTTCGCTTGTTCGGAGTTTGTTCCGAGTTCGCCCGGAGTTCGTTCGGAGATTGTCCGGAGTTTGCTCGGAGTTTGTTCGGAGTTCGTTCGGAGTTTGTTCGGAGCTTGTTCGGAGTTGGCTCACGGCCACTGAGAAATGCCTACTAAGAAAAAAACGTTCTGCTCTGTATTCTAGAGTGTGTGACGGTGTGTGGCCAAAACCCCCAAAAATGTGCCCATGCAGAATTTGTTGCAGGTCACTGCTTTCTTTGTGAAAACTCGCAATTGCAAGCCCAATCTAGCCAAAATGCGAACAGAATTTGGGCTCCAGAACAACGCATTTTGCTCGTACAGAAGAGGCGGTTTCATAGTTAATATTCCCAAAAAACCAGTTCAAGCCCTTTCCTCTTGGCGGCCAAGACTCATTCCTGCTTAGATGACCCCAAACCCCTTTCAGCAGGCGCATCAAGCTGCCTCACCCTTAAGTTTTTTTTGGTGTGGAACCGAATTTCCCACGCAAATTGGCATGGTCAACTGCCTAAAAACGGAGCTTTGCGACTTGAACAATGCATCATTTTTGCCAGTGAATTGTCCACCTTTGCGGCCAGCCAAACTCTCAAGCATCCACGTTGGCTTTGGCCTGGTCAGCGCGCTGAAGGTTGGGTGAGTTGAGTGAAACTGCAGCGGCTTGCAGGTAGGTGCCCCGTAAGCCCCCAGGTACGTGGTGATCTTCAAGGATTCAGTAAACTGCAACACCCGTTTCATACATGGAAGTTGCGGCAGGACTGAGCCCAGCGGTTGCTTGAGAATGCAAGCGCAAGTCATGAGCCATGCCAGAATCCGCATTAGGGCAGTCTCTTTGCCCAAGCAGTTCCCTTCCACAACGAAGGGTGCCAACTTGCCACGGCAGTCATTGCTTGCTGAGCGTTCTGACTGCGCGCGGCACAAGGCTGAGAAGCTGCTGCACTGTGTCCCAAACCAGATGAGCGCACCACTAGCTAAAGCATCAAGCCATAGCGCCAGCCCATGGCTTACCAGGCAATTGTGGAGCAGGGACTTGGTCGAAGACCCTGAGCCGGCAAAGTACTCAATTGCATCCAGCTTCATGTGATTCGCTGTCCTCATCCGGTTCGTCAAGCTGCGCTCAACGAGGGACATGAACTGCTGCTTCAATGACCAGGCGTGCATAAACGGATTGGCCAATCCCAGACACACTTGCCAAGCAGGAAATCCATCTCCGCCACACGCGCGATCAAACGCCACGAAAGCATCAATGAGTTGCCCAACTTGAAGAAAACGTTCTCTCAGCTCGTTGCTCCTGTTGAAGGACCTGTCAGGGCCAGAATCCAAACAACAAATATAACACATGTCAGAAGTCTTCAATCCCGGATTTGTGCGCGTTGCCCGACAAACTACAGCTCATGTTGAACTCCGGCCTGAAACCTGCAAAGAATGCAAAGTCGTCCCTGCACAGGTGCGAGGCTTTGCCGAAGTCAACCTCATCACCAGTGGGATGTAGCCGTGACACGTCAGCAACCGGACGCTATGGCTGATGAGCAACCCTAGTCCCTA